GTGCTTCTCTCTCTTTGTGAGAGAAAGAATTACAGAAGAAAATAATATACGACAAAAGCGAGAGAGAGAGAGAGAGAGAGTTTTGCTTATGGTGAATAAATGTTAATCTGAATATAACGGAGAGGAGTTAATAGTGGTTTTGAGTTTCCCCATCTAAATTAATGCGAACAGACACGATGAAATGCAAGCACGCGGTCATCCGCGACTATTAAAAAAAACTCTTGTTTTACGTCTGCCAGCAATTTGAAACAACAACACCTGTTTTTTCCGTGCGTTGACCACACGCAGACATCCGAAGCAAAATGCAATTAAAAACTAGTAAATATCAAAGGAATGTGCCTCCACGCGATGAGAAAGGATGGTCGGACTCGAATTTCGAATTGTGTGAAATTCAAATGGGTGTTTGGATGGGTATTTGGTCACCTGACAGGACAGTTTCCAACTGTCTGAAAAGGCCCTCAACAGTAAACCAGGAAATGCAATCCAGAACAACAAAGGAAAGCGAACACTGGAGTACGTGGAGCAATGAGATTGAGCCTTGATGGATCTCACGGCTACTAAACTGTGATTTTGGAAACTTCTCAGGCCTTGTTCGCTGATTCGAAATTCCAGTACCTCGGTTCGTGTCCTAATCTCAACCGACGATTCCCGGTTGATTCTGACAGATTTTACCGACACGTGTTAGCTTGGGAGTTGGGACCTTACCTCTCTAGCAAAGAATGTCAGAATCCCTGGAGTTGCCTGAGTTGGCCAAGCCCCAACCTTAAAATATTCGTTCCCGCACTATATAATTTTAAATTCAGATATTTTATGATTATATTTTTAGAACATAATTTATTAAGCTTTAGCTCCTACTCGTTTTCTTACATGACAACCTTAAACACGATCATTATTATTTAATACAAATACAACAACAAAATAATATTATTTAATGTTGTTGATTTTATGTGAACACTTTCAGAAGTGGTATAGTATTAAATTCTATCATTTTCTTTCTTCGATTTGAAGTAAAGTTGGTAAACAAATGTAATTAACTGAATTTGACAAGTTTTGGATATTAAACTGCAGGGAATTTGGAATTACATGGCCACCTGTCAGTGAAACAAAATTGGACATATCAAAACATAGTAACCCTAAAATCTACAAGTACATTGGCTGTAAATATACATAGGATGTTAGTTTAATCGAGATTTAATAAGTTTTAATTCGCTTCGGTAAGGGTAGTGAAACGTGATCAATTTCATTATTAATTATCTCTTGATTCGTCGATTTACTTCGTTAAGTTGGTATTTTCTCTTATTTTTATGTAGTACATTGAATTCTATAAACTAAACTAAAAAGATGAAATTCTGCAGTTTTCTAGGCTCAGGGCTGGGCTAGTGGGTATCATTTGGGGCATGACTGCTGATGTGGTGACGAGCCAGCATCTTCTGGAAGGTCCAACTGGAAATTTCGTGTGAACAAAATACTCAACACAAATCATACTTGAATTTCAAGATTTCCTTTATTTTAGTGATTTAATTTGAACAATTATGGAATTTATCTTTTGTTACATTTATTAGGATTCAAACTTGAGAACTACAAAAACCCTTTGGGGTATGCTTGAACACATCTCTCATGTAAAAGATTGTATTGTTCTTATTTTCTCTAGTTTTTATAAAAGTTTTTTTATTTAATTTATCTTTCTTTTACTTTTCAAGTTTTATTTTTTTAATAAAAATACTAAGTATGATTTTTATCATACTTAGCTAAGTTTTTCATAATCGATGGTTGAAGCGATTACTCAATTCCTAATGTGAGAATTTAAAAGCACCTCATACCATATTGGGTTAAATTTCTCAATTTTCAGAAAACAAGATTAGCCGATAGTCTTAATCAAAACACTTTCATGTCAAAATAGATTTTTGCTTGGATGTTGTTATGGTTTATTGCTGGGATTATAGAATCAATTGAATCGAATTCCCTCGAGCACACTTAGCGATTTCACTTTAAGAGAAGATTGGGAGCGAGTTCGACTTTCATAGAGAAAACATAATTTGAGTCGACTTTTCAAGCGCTTTTAAACTGTTTGAATTGACAACTATAGTCGCCGTTAATCTAAACAAGCATTGAGATTTCTAAAATAGATTTGGAAAAATCAATCACGAAAGAGAAAATGAGTTACAAGGATTGAACCTTGCAGACTCAAACCAATATTTAACCGGAGTAAAATCCTATTCAAAGATCGATTGGAATTTGAGGCAAAGCGGATGTCCGGTGCTGATTTTTACAAATATAATTTATTTCAGATTTATTTACTTTTAATTTTTACTTCATATTATTATTCAATTAACAACAATCCCACTTTTTATTTTCTTTTGCAGTGCATACCTAGTATAAAAGGAAGACCAAATTATCGAAAATTGCAATATTCCTTACGAATTGACCCTTACCCTTTCTATATAGTTATTTCTATTTTATTTTTATTGAGATTAAGGCATATTTATTTGGCAATTAAAACAACATGTTGATAGTTAGTGTCTTTTTAATATATTCAAATATAACTAATTCAAATTTAGGGTGAAAAATAATATAATAAACTAAAATTTAAGTCTTTTATTCGAAGCTATAATTACATTATCTCTAAAACTTTGCGTACGATTTTCAATCCTCATTATTTTTGATGTGCTTTGCGTATACTTTTTGTGGTTGTTTTGGTATTTACATAAAGATCACAATATTTTTTATTATTATTGATTTGTTAGTGGTCACGTAAAATAAATCCCTTCTATGGTAGAAAATTATTTGTTGATATAATCAAAATTATATAACGAAATAACATGTTAACTAATTTGGTTCACTCATCACTCATTTATTACTTTGTAAAGCGTTTCATTTAATAAATATATAAAATTTTAAGAATGTTATTGAGTTATTTTAATATTAGTCATCATTTTTAAGAGAATGTTTCATATTTTGTTGATATAATCAATATTATGTAACGAAACAACATGTCAACTACTTTGATTCACTCGTCAATATTTTTTTATTTTATAAAACGTCTCGTTTGATAAAAATTTGATGGATATTATAAAATTATTTTGATATTAGCCGTTATTTTCAATAGAATGTGTTTAGTAGTTTAATTTTCATATAAAAACAATAACGAAACGCTGGTAACACATCAAGGTTCGTAAAAAGGTTTGCGTGTTAGGCAAAATCTGTTGGAAAACCAATCACGAAAAGTAAAATTCAAACTACTTTTCTTTTATTTGTTTATATTTTCTTTCACCAAATTGAATAAAAGACCTCCACGTCAACACGTGTCATACAGATCACATCTGCCACTTGGCTCTTCCCCATTCATATCTCATCTCAACCATTCATTTGACACGTTTTGATTCCGGAAAGAGACAGAAAAATATCAGGAATATAATGATTTGTATCAAATTCATGTTTATTAAGTAACTTTTATTGTTATTTATAATTTTTATTTAATGTCAATAAATAATTTCACAAATAATATTAATTAAGTATGAACAGATTAAATTTAAATAATAAAAAAATTATAATTAAATTCAAATTTCTTTGACATTTCTTCCTATCAAGATTCGATATTATTTAATTGGCCACTGATTAATACGGGGATCTGTTTTGGTTGTTACCGGGGATAGCCGGTTTACACATGGAAATCCAATTGCCACCGACTATTCGGTATTGGACGCGCTAAACCCACACGAAATACACGCTCCCATAAGATGTGTTCCTTTAACTCCAGAGACTCCGAAAATGATCCGGAAAGATTGCGTAATTTAAAAAACGAATTTAATTAGTTTTATTTTTTAGTAATTAAAAAAAAAGCGGTCCACAATTAGTGTGAAACACAAGAATTCAATGAAATAGATGGGTCCTATGCATGCCTAGGAATTATAGAAACGAAAATCCCAAAGAGCTCACAATTTTTTTTATTTATTATTAATTTAAACTCATGATCTTTAAAATTTATAACAACAAAATATTGTTTTTTTTTATTTTATATATGGAGAAAATAGTCTAAAATAAAAAAATTTAAGAGCAAATTAAAATTTTCACTACTGTATTTTATTCTCTTTTCTATTTTGCTAGTTGAACTTTAAAAGCTTTCAATTTCCTCATTGAAATTAGTACATTGAGTTTTTCTTCTCTAGGGATGGGATGGGTCGGGTCAGGATGGATTTATTATATAGTTTTGGGATGATTATTTTATTTATGAAGAGAAATCCAAATCAATGTATTATACCAAAAAAATGTTAGAATATGGAATAAAACAAATTGTCAAATAATTCCCTTTGGGTCTAAATAATTTTTATTCTCTAGCCTTTATTTTTCTTTCTGAATATTAACCAAAATTATTTGAAGAATCCTTAAGCTTGCAACATCAACTTTGGCTTTAACTTTATGATTAGAATTCTGGATTTTGAAGATATTGTAAATTGAATCAATATCATAGTAATTAAAACGTTTACTTGAGTCCATATCAACCGAGAGTAGATGTTTGGCTTCCAGTGCTCCTTTTTCATGATTTGATGTTAAATTAACAATTTTCTATATGATCATCCTTCAATTAATAGATATCCTTTTATTTTAATTATTAATAACACCAATCACTTATACTAACATCATTAAATAATTCTAACAATAAATAAATAAATAGATTCCCATTTGTCTGTGCATATTTTTTACATCTCATCATCAAATAATGTTAAATCGGTCATTTTAATAATTTTGGGTTATTTTTTAAACATTTGATGCTAAGAAAAATAACTATTTCTTCTATAAATTCCAATAAAAATATTTGATCTTAATTTAGTAAACTCTTACGCACTTCACCTTAAATTTTACTTAAAAAAATTAATAAAAAGTAATAAATTATACCAAGTGAAATATTCAGATGTTGGAACAATTTTAACTAGAAGTGAATTTAATATCTGGAGATGTGTTTGGAAGGAATATCTGCTTTGGGTTCGTTATAATCAATAAAGTTTGATTTCAACGTCTCAACAGATTCTATTTAATTTCGCTTGACAATATTGTAAGTTTTGTGTACAAAATTTATGGCCGGTGGCGGTATAAATTGCATTGATTATGTTGTTTCAACAAATATTAACTTGTTACACCCATTTTTGTAAAGGTGAATTGGCCTATAAAGTTTGCACGAATCAACTAACTTAAGTGGTTAAAAGAATTATTGTTATTCTTAAAGATCAAGGATTCGAGCTTCAACAGTTGCAGCAATGTGATTGATCGTTTATAGTCAAATGATTGAGAATATTTACAACAAATACTACTTTGTAATCACCTTAGCTTAATAAAAAAAAATTGGCATGCATTTAATAGTGAATTTTACGTTAGAGTCGCGAGAAAATTGAAGAACAGAGTTGTAAATTTTGTGCTAAAACGGATTAAATTAAATTATTAAATATTGTAGAGGATAAAATTGACATTATTGTATTTAATGAATTGATTAAATTGAATTATTAGAACTTAATAGAGACTAAACAAGCAATTGGACAATTCGACCGAGGGGCACCAAGAAACGCGAGCCTTGCAATTAGACCATTCAACCGAAGGGCAGTAAGATCCCCCCAACCTTGGCTTCGCTGCTGCAATTACTCTTGAAAGGTGATCTCAAGAGCAAGTTTACAACTATTTTTTTTTGGTTAATACACTTTTAGGTTACTAAATTATACCTTAAATTAACTTTTGGTATCTAAACTATACCTTAAATTGATTTTTAGTGTCTAAAGAATTTTTTCTTTAAAAATAAATTCATAATGTTTTCTCCGTTATACTTTTAGATGTTTGCCATTAAAAAAATCATTAAATGACACATGTCACGTTCATTTTTTATATATATTTTAATTAATATTTTTTATTTTTCAAAACAAAAAATATAAGTGTGACACTCTTACTTATCCGTTTTTTTAACGGTAGACACCTAAAAGTGTAACGGAAAAAAACATTAAACATCAAAAATTAATTTGAGCTATAGTTTAGACACCAAAAATAAATTAACAAAAAATTCTTTAGACACCAAAAATTAATTTGAGGTCAAGTTTAAATACCTAAAAATATATTAAGCCTTCTTTTTTCTATTCTTATAAAGATCTATCCAATCAATGAGACTTAATTTTTGGTTTAATCAAAAATATTTTATCTATTAATCAATTAAATCAGCTCAAATATTTTTTTTAAAATATCACAATCTATTTAATTTTTTATTTATTCTATTCATATTAGATTCGAACTCTTAGTTTTATTTAAAGAATTTAATCATTCATCTCTTATACTAACACGTTGTTGGTAATAAATCCTTAATTTACTAGAAAGGTTAGTGCCTTTAAAAGTTCATGGAGCTATATTCAAATGATAATTTTGTATAAAATATTAAAAAAGTTAAAAAATGGTTATTAATTTATCAAATTTGTTATAAAATAATCATTATATATTTGAAAATATAATAAATTTGAGTACTATTTTATAATAGTTCAAAAAAATAAAGATCATTCGTGCGTTTCAATTTCTGCATTTCATCTTTCAGATATGGAAATTGGTTTTGTTTAGTGGTTTTGTTTTGCTTCTCCTTGGTGGTGGTTTTCCATTTACAATGTGTGTGGGCCATAAATGTTTCTTTGGTTATCACTGATAAAAATAGGGTAAACTATGCTAATAGTAACCTTTATTTTTGGTCTAACCGACTTTGGTCACCGATTTTTTAATTAAGTGCTTTTGGTCCTTTTCGTTGTCGATCCGTCCGATTTAAGTCTTATTTAGGTTTTTTTTTTTAAAAAAAAAATCCAAAAAAAAACTCATGTGTAAAACTCAGGTGTCTTCTTCTTCTTCTTATGGGTGTTCATGTCTGTGTTCAATAAGAATTCAAACTTGAGCACCATGTTTATTGCTTACTTCTTCCATTGCTCAAACTAGTAAATCTCACCAATGATACCCTACGTGGGCTACTACTTACATATGTAGATGCCTCACAAAGTATTTCTTTTTCAAATGTAGCAAGCAAGGAAACAAAGGAGAAATAATTAACAGTTCACTAAACTCACCAAGAGGATTGAATCTCCTTCATCGAAACACAATGAAACTGGTAATTAAAACCTCTTTAAAAACTCAATTGACTCAGTCCAACAAGAAGTCAAATTTGAGCATGGCTTATTAAGTTAATGCCTCCTTCACTCAAACTAGCCAGTCACACTAATGTTATCCTATATGGACTACCACTTACATATGCAGAGTCAACAGAACACAAAGTATTTCACATGTAGCTAGTGAAGAAACAGAGGAGAGACCATTAATAGTTCACTTAACTCGATAAGAGGATTGAACTCCTCTTCATTGACATACAAAAACTCTGTTTATCAACTGCTCTTCTTCGAGCTTAAAGACACGAAAACCGAACCGTGCATGTCGTTAGCATACTCGACCATGGAGAGTTTATCAACCGTTGCTTTCCAGAAAAGGGTTTCGAGTTCTAGAGCCAAAAGGGTACCCTTTTTGCTGTGTTTCTTCAAGTAACTCCTTTCGAAACTCTTGGCTTTCGCTTCTATTTCTTGGAAAGTGTAGTGCTCCCCACTTTGCCACATGGTTTTCTGAACAGGCAAGTGCTTCCTGGGGCAAAACCCGATCTGCTGCTGCCGGGTAGTGAATGTAGGTGCTGGCTTCGAATCCGGGCTCGCATTAGCCGCAGCACGAGCCAAAAGTGAACGGTTGAGATTCCCAATTGCTGTCTTATTAGGAGCAGGTGACACCGGGGGTATGATTTTGCAGATATTATACTAGGAAGCCTCCTTTTCGATCTTGGAAATGTATGCAATGATCTTGAAACTCTACTAGAGTAGGCCTATACTCTGGAGCTAAAGGCATGGATTTCAGCCATGGAAACACTTCCGGACTTTGCTCTAACGAGTGAGCCATGAGAATGGAATAGCGGCAAATCTCTGCGTGGCTAAGGTCTGGGAAATCATTGAAAGAAGTTCATATCGTGTAAGCTCACTAAAAAAACAAGTACAAAACAAAAAGGGGTTTCAGATTCTTTCTAAGCTCACTAAAAAAATCGTGTAAATCTCTGTGCGACTTTATTACTGATTTCAAGTGTGCAGAAGAAGAAGAAGAAGAAGTGATTTGGAGAAGGAGAAGAAAAAGAAAGGAGTTGACGTGGATTTTTTAAAACAAAATTTTTTGATTGCAACGTAACACTTCCGTTCGTTCGTCAATTAAAAAATTAGTGACAAAAGTTGGTCATGTTGATAATAAAGAGGACTACTGTGTAGTTTACCTATAAAAATATTAGGGTAAACTACAAATTTATCAACTAAACTTTATTCTCTTTCCTATTTATCTCATTGTACTTTAAATCTTTTTAATTTTCTCACTAAACTTAATACATTGATTTTTTTTATCACTTGGCCATTAAAAAGTTAAAGGTGTTAAAATGGGCTGTTATATATATGCAAAATGACATCGTTTTGGTGGAATTTTTATTTTTAAAAACGACTTTGTTTTTAGCACTATTAACTATTTAATGATGGAGTGACCAAAGTAAGAGAGTAAAGTTAAATGACAAAAAGACTAATTAAGTTCAATGAAAAAATTAAAAACTTATAAAGTTCAATGATGACATTTGTATTTTACCCAAAATAATATTATGTATTTTTTGTCACCTATATAATCAGATAGTTTTTTTAATATTAATAAAATGTTACATTAAAACAGAACTGATATACATATCAATATAAAAAAGATAATTGAATAAAAATAATAACAATTTATGCAATAGTTTAGAAACAATTTTTGGGGAAAATAACAAACGGCCCCATTTTGTACCTGTTTATTGAAGATGAGGAACGAAAATGGGATCACATCCACATTCTTTTGCTATCATTTTCTGTCCCAAATTGTTTCAATTAATTATTCCAATATAATTTTCAACTCAAATATTATGAAAACCATAAGCCTTGAACATAAATTGGAAGTAGATGGGATTCGACAATTACTTGTGTCATTGTATGAAATATCAGTAGCGGATCTAATTTTTTTTTAGAATGGACACACGTGTATTAATAACATAAATTTTTAATATTGGGTAGACATAAATAAAATTTCAAGATCGATACCCCAAGTAAAATAAACTACTAACATAAGTATATTCAGATTTCAGGGTAGACACGTTCCCACCCTTATCTAAGCCTACATCCGCCTCTGTAATGTGAGTTAAATGTAATCATTCAACAATCTACCGATTTATTCTTTTATACCAAGTTCATGTCGGTTGACAGTTTTAAGGTCCATGTTGAAACGTATCTAATTGTCCTTCACAAGAAAATAAAGGTAGAATTCCTAAACAATCCTTACAGCCATAAGTAGAATATACAAAATATACAGGCATTGCAGCTTTCCGTTTCAAAAAAGTGATGACCAGAAAACATTAGGCCGCGGCTTTCTTTTTCTTCGGCATCCGGTAGCCACCCACGACACAGGCATGGTCACGTTCGAATGGTTCGAGAGTCGCTTGTTCGAATGGTTTGAATTGTTCCTGCTGCAGTTTCTTGACTTCACTCTGGAATACAGCCTCGGCGGGAACAGTTGAGTCGATGCAATTAGCCTGGAAACATTCAATCATGTTGAAACCAACATGGCCAAAGCAGAAAAAAAGCATCCGTGTAGACTCGATTTTGGAACACTAACCTTGATTGAAATAACAAAATGACCCCCAGCTTTCACGAAAAAATGATGCACTCAAAGCAAGAATCCTTGCCTGCAAATAAAGTAAAAAAGGAAAGGTGGGAGATTACATCGTGTTACTTGGAGTAAGCATCCGACATGAAAGTGATCATTTTTTTCCAGAGTTTTTTCATATCTAATACTCTTAAGTGTTTACCTGGCCTTAGTGCAGGTATCTGATATGCTTTAACAGTAAAAGAAACAAGACTTTCAAAGGAGAAGAATATATACAATTACCACTCGTGAGAGAACAAAAAAGTCGGTGCTTTCTGAAAATGGAAACAAAAAGATTGCAAAATCTAACACAAACACGACGGGGAAATTGAACAAGCATCAGAAACTCGGTATTGCATCACCCATGTTGTCTTGAAGGGGAATCCGAGTACCTCATCATTTGCATAGTGATAAAGTCGAATAAAATGACAGAAAAGGAGGAAAAACAAAACTGAAACAAATGGCTGATAGTTTCATAGACATACATTCAGATAAAGAGGAAGTGTTTTTTTAAGTTTCAACTACTCATTCTTTTTAAAAGATATTGAAACGAAGAAACACGATTTCTTAAAAAGGAATCCTTCTGTAACACCTGAATTTGAAAAACTATTCAAAGTTTGTAACTTAATGTTGCATCAGAAACTCGATTTAGTATCACCCATGAAATTAAGTCTTGAAGGGGAATCCGAGTAGAGTTGAGCAGATGCATATGCATATGCATATGATAGATAAAGTTATGCTTTACAAATGCAAAAAACTAATCAATGATGACTATACAAAAATGAAGAATTGGAAGTTAGGAAGTAAAGAAAGCAAACAAACCAAGCAATGCAGACAGGAAACTAGAAGCAAAAAGGAAACTCGTGTTGTGTGGTGTTAAATGAGAGAGCATGCAAGTAAAAAAATACACTATCAAGAACTGAGCCATTACAGAAAAAATCAAGCTGCCGGTCGAAAAAGCAATTAAGCCAATCTTTTGATTGCTTATTAATCATTTACCGTGTGATACAAATAAGAAAAAAGGAACTCGACAAAGCAAACCTGATAAGGCTGAGAAACATCAGAAAATATCACATCCACCATGCCAACTAGCATCCTGTATTTGGCCGGATGCCTAGCATCTTCAATGATAGGTATAACATTTGTTCGTTTTTGGGCCATGTTAAGCAAGTCTCGCCGCTTCGGTGAGAAAATTCCACTGCATAAACAACACCATTCTGCCAGAAAAGCAGATTCAACATATATATAATCATAAAAGACGTTCAAAATTCAAGTAATAGTATTAGTATATACTTACAGGACCAACAATATCAGATACATGAGAAACAGTAGTGCCAGACGCAGCTCCAAGGTAGAGAACCTTAGCACCGGGTTTCTTGATAAAACAAAAAAACAGATATTGGTGATAAACATGATGCAACTTCTATATGATCAAAAGCAAAATGGGAATTAATAGCTTACAATCCATATGTTATCGAGACCACCAAGAACGGCAGCTGCCAACTTAGATCGGAACGGATTCCAAACTCTGTATTCAACTTTAGTCCCTTCTTCATTCGCTTAGAGCAAAATCATGAAAGACCCTCAATTTCTCTTACGAAATGCAATCATATATAATTTTCTACAGGTAGCAAAAATACTAGAGCATATTCAATCAATCATCTCACTTATGTCAATGGAAAAATGAAAAAGAGAGAGACCTGAACAGTGATCCTTTTTTCATTGTAAACAGCTTCACCAAGGACCATATTTTTGGTAATAAGGGCATCTTCCTTACCCCTGGCGACAAAAACTCCCTCGTGCCTATGGGGCTCAACTACGACCTTGCTTAAACCCTTCATCCCGCCTCCACGGCCCCTTCCTCCACCACGGCCGCCGCGGCCTCCGACACGAGACCTCATTGCACTGCCACCCCGATCGCCAGCTCTTCCGCCATCTCCTCTGCCCTTAAACCCACCACCACCACGGCCTGCACATAGCAAAACCATTAGAAATATCATAAGCAGAATCTAAACTAGCACAAAGAAAGCCAAGGAAGATTCGTTACCTCTAGGAGGTCTCATCTGTGAAGAACAATAAACGAAATGAGATAAAGTGAGGCAAAGCGAAGTTTGAGTGAAATGGTAGGGTTTATGCTTACACACATAGAATAAGACTAAGGTTTAATGTTAGTAGCATTTTGCAGTCAATTTTGGCCCAATAATGGTTGCGGGATTATACCCATTTTTTTATTTTATGAAGTACAATATTTGTTACTTGTTACAGTAATTTAAAACTCGTTACGTGGGCGTGTCGAGTTTCAATAAAAATATATTATTAGAACTTGTCACTCTTACTTGATAAAATCTAATAAAAATTATACTTTATTGATACTCGTCACTTCAACTTGACTAGTTTAAATAAAAAATATTATTTGGATAAACTTGTTATGTAGGTATGACAAGTTTATCCCGCAACTTAATATTTGTTGTAGATTCTAAATTAATTTTCAAAGTGATTTAATAAGCTATTTTTTCATCTACTTGATCTATTGGGCCAATTTTACCGCATTTTGTATGTGATTAAGCCCACATTTGTAGAAACCTTATGCTTATATCCAACCCGTTTCTACATTTTCAACTGTAATCCATTTATGTGTCCAATACGTCAAAGCCCAAAGAATACAAATGTTTTTATATGCACCTATAATTTTCTGTTTGTGTTAATAAAAATAGAAAAATAGCAAATATTTACAAGCTGGCCACGTAAATGAGCGAAGTACTGTCTTCTTGTGATGATTGAAAAGGCATGTAAACATCAATTAACCGGTGCAGTCCAATTATTTAACCATTTCTCCCATTTTTAATTATAAAGATAAATATGATCATAATTAAAAAAACATTTAAATACAAGGAAACGCAATGGTGTATATAATATATGGTATGGTCATTATAATAAATCATAATTTGTCTTTTTGGGTAAATCAATGATCATATCCTGCGTGTCCACTTTAAAACCTTTGAAATATATATATATGAACAGGTAATTTTAATAGTTAAATACTAGTTGTTATTTTTAGAGGCCTCAAGTTAAAGCACATTGTATGTTAATTATGTTTTAATATTTATTGTCAAATGAATTAAGAGTTTTTCAAATAAATAATATCTTATAATTCAGTGGCGGATTTAGAAATTTAAAAATGGGGTTCAAAGTTTTAATTTTCTTTTCTTAAAAATAATGCCTATGTCAAAATTGTAATTTTTTTTTCTTTTTATCCTTAATACATTAAGTTAAATTTAATCACATTTCTAAAAAAATGGGATGCACTTGGTCCCTATGGGGCTTAATGCATCCACCACTGTTATAATAAACAAATCAACTGACCCTATTCCCATATGTAATGGGGTGAGGGGAAGGTAGGATAGTAGGCTGTCCCCAACGCCAGGTTGAGAGCAGCTTCCGTAGAAGACCTCCGACAATCAGAATTATGAATTGCCCACTATTATAATCACATTTAGATTAATAAAAAATATATATTATTATATATAAGTAGCATTAGGGTTAAAGTTTCCAATTTTTTTTTTGATAAATCAATTAAATCCATTATCCAAGAGAGTAGCATCAGCTACAACAGTACAAACAAAACAACACAACCTGATACAAGAAATCCCCACCAGCACAACTGCAAAACAACAAAGACCCCAACCAATTAAAGAATCCCCTACTCAGTACACAATCTTCTATTTACCTCATCACCCCTATCTATACGAGAACTGTACAATTCAAGTCTGACAAACTCTCTAATATTCTCCACAATTGTATCAACCGAACGAAAACTCCCCCTATACAGCCTAAAGTTTCTTTCCTCCCAAATGCAATACAAATATCCAGTCCAAGCAAGATTAAGGACAAGAACAACGAAGGGCTTACCCCGCAACTTAGTCTCTGCCCATACCAAATCTTCCTCCCAGCTCGTGGTATGACATTGCAACCCACAAATGAAAAAGATTCTTCTCCAAACACCATGAGCATAATGACAAGTAGGGAAAAGGTGGTTCTTAGTCTCACTCTCAACCATGCAAAGAGAACAGAGTCCATCATTAGGAATACTAAACCTCTCCAACCGATCTTTAGTTGGCAATTTGTCCAACAGAACCATCCAAGCTAAAATGGATAGCTTAGGGACATGAGACGGGAACCAAATGAGGTTGTGCTACCCCATTTTATCCCTTCTCTCCTTAACTTATCCCAAACCCATCTGCTGCCAATTGCCTGACCACTCATGCCCTGAAACAAATTCTCAGCCACTGCCCTTAACTTCATTAGCTTTCTCATCGTCCAACTAAACTGAGGCTTACAAACAGCAACTTTTAAATCCTGCCCCTTGAAAATATTTTCATTAATCCAATCTACCAATAAACTACCATCACCAGCCAAAATTTTCTTAACAAGCAGCAAACAGCAAACCTTATTCCAACATGCCAAACCCTTCAGCCTTAAACCTCCATCAGAATTGATAGAACAAATCTGGCTCTAACTAACACGAGCCCCTCCAGCATCACTGTAACGCCCCGAAATTTAAGATAAATCTTCCTTAGAGTTTAAAGCTTTGGACCCAATTGGTTTTGGTTTGGGCCTGGGATGAGTCCAACAAGCTTGACATGGGGATGCTTTTAATCATAAACCAAATACGGAAGGACTAGGTGGATAATTAACCCATTAGTTTGAATCAAAGCTAATTCTTCATTAAGGTGATGACTTCACGTCTGAAACACTCTTTTTCACCCCCAATTTTGTCTCTTCTCCCTCTCTTCTTTCTCATCTTCTTCCTCTCCAAGGCAAGTTAAAGGTCCAAGCTTTTTAGTTTTGCAAGCTTGAATCAGAATTTCTTAGGTAAGATTCATAATCTACACTTCTTAAGCTTCAAATTAAGCCATCATTTGCAAGGTCTTGGTATCTTAGGCAAAAAGGGGTTTTGGAGGGGCTTATGGAACCTTGTGATTCAGTCTGGTTTTGAGAGAGTTTTTGTAAAACCCCAAATTTTTGTTAGTGACCAAAACATAAATTTTAAAAGTTTAATGGCTAAAGTTCTATTTTTCCTATAGTTCTGTTGCTTGGAGGGCGAGTGGCGGCAGCGGCAATATCGGCGACTGAAGAGAAGAAGACATGGCTGATATTAGCATGGGTGAGCACCGTTGCCGGAAACCTATCGCTGTTGGGATCGGCAGCAAACCTGATAGTAAGTGAGCAAGCTCATAGAACGCCGCACCTTGGCTACACTTTGTCTTTCTGGAACCACCTCAAGTTTGGACGTCCGTCCACTCTTATAGTCACTGCTATTGGTTTGACACTCATTAGATGAATTAGTGACCAAAATGTATGTTTTTCAATTGCGATGACCAAAGTGTGTGTTTCTTAAAAGTTCGATTATCAGTGTCGTTTGCCCATATTCTAACTTAAAAAGTTGTTTTATTTATTTATTTATTTAGTTTTACAAATATTTTACATTATTAATTTATATTAATAACCCCGAAATAAACAAATATCTTATATTTTTAAATCAATAAGAACAATTTAATTTTATTGAATGAATAAATGAATAATATAATAATTTCACAATTAAAAAAATATAAATTTTCCTAAAATAAAATAGATTTATCGCATCTATAATCATTTTCCTTAGAATCATAAAGAGTATAAATTAGTCACTAAACAATGAAAATAAAATCATACATGAGAAAATTTAAAAAATCTAAACAATTCTTTTTAAAAAAAGATACAAATAAATACTATTACCGACGGTGAAGGATAAGCATTGTCAATACTAATATAAAAATAAATATAAGAAAAACGATCTATTGACAACTCATTTTATCACAACTCAAGTACGATCCATCTGATATGGTTGTGAGTAGGGACGAAACTAAAAAAAAATTATAGCGAAGGTTAAAATATTTTTTATTTTTCATAAATCTATTTTTTAATAGAGGGGATTGATAATTTTTTCTCAATTTATTTTTGAAAATATATATTTTAAATATTAATTAATACATAAAAAATAATTGGTGAGAGCTAAGGATTCTCTTAACCACTTGGGGAAAAAAGAGAAAGCAACAACAAAATTAATAATAAAGTATCAGTAATTGGAGTAATTACTTGTTCAGAGAAGGATAACGTTCATTTTCTACACAATCCAAAAAAAAAAATGAAAGAAGAGAAGAAAAGAAAAGAAAAGTCGTACAAAAGAATGAGAAATCAATATACAATTCGTAGGTTACAAGTAGTGCAATTCCAAATATAAACTAAGATCGATCCAGGGTTAAAATCCAATGATATAATGTTTTTTAATATATTTTTATAAACATTAAAGAATGAGAAATAAAGTATTACATGGAAACCACTTGGGGATCGTTGATTTCGATTAGTGCTATACACAGACGATATGCACACGAACATTTTGTTTTTATCACTACTAAATTTATATATAGCAAGTTGAACAGAAATATAAAACGTTAGAGTATCTTTAAACATTTAATATTCTTTAATTTATAAATAATTTTTTTTTGAAAGATATAAAATCTTGAGTTCTACACTTCTACTTGATAACAAAATAACCAAATTTAGGTGTTCTTTTTCTAACAGAATCTATATAAGATGGAGCAAACTTATGACTTTGGTGCACTTGTCACGGCCATGGAACTCATAAAACCGAATTAATGATGCAAATTTCTCCGGGCGCTCACGTACAAACAAAGATGGCCGTAGCTATTTAACTCAACGTCTCGGTGTGTCTTGACTTCGTTCATTTCTACGTTTACTTTTGCGTATTTCCATCTGAAAATATCTTTTAGATTACTTTTCTGGCTTCTTTTAGATTTTAACACCTGTCTTGAATTTACGGAAGTGTCCGGAGATCAAAAGCCTTAAACAATGGCGATGGCTGCTTCATACAAAGTGGTTCTGGGCTCAATAGCCTTTGCAGTCTTCTGGGTTTTAGCAGTTTTCCCTGCTGTCCCATTTCTACCAGTTGGAAGAACAGCAGGGTCCTTGCTTGGAGCCGTGCTTATGGTTTTATTCGGAGTGATAACCCCAGATGAAGCTTATGCCGCCATTGATTTACCCATCCTGGGTCTTTTGTTTGGCACCATGGTCGTCAGTGTTTATCTCGAAAGAGCGGATATGTTCAAGTATTTAGGTAAGTTGCTTTCGTGGAGAAGTAAAGGTGCTAAGGACTTAATCTGCAGAATCTGTTTGGTTTCTGCAATTTCAAGCGCTCTTTTCACTAATGATACCTCCTGTGTGATCTTGACTGAGTTCGTGTTGACAATTGCAAGGCAACATAATTTGCCCCCTCATCCGTTCCTGTTGGCACTTGCTTCGAGTGCGAATATCGGGTCTTCGGCCACACCAATCGGGAATCCACAGAACTTGGTGATTGCGGTTCAGAGCAAGATTTCGTTTGGTGAGTTCGTTGTTGGGATTTTGCCAGCAATGCTCGTTGGAGTTTCAGTGAATGCTTTGATCCTTCTGGTTATGTATTGGAGATCATTGTCTGTTCAGAAAGATGAAGAAGATGGGACTACTGAAGTTGTGGGTGAAGTTGAGGTGAGTTCCCATCGGTTTTCGCCGGCTACGATGTCGCATCTTTCGTCTTTGAACTTTGAGGAATTCATGGATCCTCCAAGCTCTGCCAGCCACATCAATGGAAGCTCAACTCATGCTGACACTCTTAGAAACAGAGTCAACTCGGAGGATCAACATGAAATCCAGAGATCACCCGGTGTAAGGAATTCGGATGCATCAAGGGAGTTGGCTAATGCGATTCCATCGACCGAATCATTTGCAGTGCTAAATTCAGAACAAAAAGAGACAGTAAAAGGAAGATGGAAGAACAAGTTTTGGAAACTGTGTGTGTATTTAGACACTATTGGGTTGCTGGTTGCTCTGCTTATGGGACAAAACATGTCATGGACCGCTATTACTGCGGCACTGGCGCTTGTTGTTCTTGATTTTAAGGATGCAAGCCCTTGCCTGGAAAAGGTTTTTGAAGTAAAATATATTTTCAATGTTTTTATAATTATATCGTTGATTAAAACTTTGATTATTTGGTCTTCCCAGGTATCGTATTCGCTTTTGGTTTTCTTCTGCGGAATGTTCATAACAGTGGAAGGCTTCAACAAAACCGGAATCCCAAGCACCCTTTGGGACTTCATGGAACCCTATTCAAAGATCGATCGTGTTTCGGGGATCGCAGTTCTTGCTATTGTCATTCTCGTCCTCTCCAATCTGGCCTCTAACGTACCAACCGGTAATATAAACACGACACGAGCTCATACATGTCTCCAAATTTATACCGACATGTTTGTAACTAGTTTTCCTATAGTTCTGTTGCTTGGAGGGCCAGTGGCGGCATCGGCAGCAACAATAATATCGGCGAGTGAAGAGAAGAAGGCATGGCTGATATTAGCATGGGTGAGCACCGTTGCCGGAAACCTATCTCTGTTGGGATCGGCGGCGAACTGATAGTATGCGAGCAAGCTCGTCGAGCGCCAAACCTTGGCTACACTTTGTCTTTCTGGAACCACCTCAAGTTTGGACTTCCTTCCACACTTATAGTCACTGCTATTGGTTTGACACTCATTAGATGATCAGCACAAAATGTTCGTAAAATTAAAAAGGGCTCAACTTACAATAGAAAAAGCAAGATAATTGGTTTTAGTTTGAAAATCCATTGCAGTCCCTTAATCAAGAGCTGTATAAGGTTTTCATCAAATCCTATGGTTATGTTATATTCATCAGGGGAAATGAGGGCCTAAATTCATATTGGGTATGGGTCAGAGAAATCTTAAAAGAAACTGGATTGAGTTAGGTCTGAAACAACTCCTGGGCATTAAGTATTTTTTTTAAATGAGATAATAATCAATTTATTTATTTTTAAATACAATAGTGTAGTAGATGGGTGATCTTCGGCTTGAATGAATACAGTGAAGACGTGAGTAGACGTTGCGTGGATAACCCATTAAATTATTAAAATGACATTGTCACTTTTGAAACATTGCAGTTGTTGCATGTTCCTTTTGCTCAATAATTGTTTATTGCTTCCAAGCTTGAAGCCTTATTACCACATGCATTATATATATTATATAATTATCTTAAACCTCTTTTATTGATCAGATTTAAACTTAAAAGATAAGAGTTTTAAGTCCCTCAACTTTTGATTATTGAAGTTCAATTGATAACCCCGTTAAAAGATAGATCACGTGGCATTAAAATAATAAAATGATTATATTTGATAAATTGAAAGTTAAAAGACTAAAATTTGAATATGCTAAGACTACATGGATTGAGAGCACAGTTAGAGCTTCAACGAACAACTTGATCTTATCCAGGACAGATAGACGATAGGCAGGCCAAAAAACAGGGGGGATATCTCCGACCGGGATTAGTATCCCTTCTTTTTTTTTTATAATTAAAATTTTTATTACCCAAATGGGCAGTGATCTGCTACAAAACAAACATCAATGGGAATTCAACAAAAATCATGAATAACCACAAAACAGATTATAAGTTATTCAATACTCCAATTCTTACAAAGAATGATATTAATACTATCGAGTCTATTAATGTTCCGGCCTCTTAATTGCATTCCGACCGTCTTCTTGGTAGCTTTAAGAATTTCAACTGCCGTTCTAGAGTTTCCTTTAAATAATCTTCTGTTTTGTTCCTCCCATAGAGAATAGAAGAATGCATACCATGCAAATTTCAAGATAGTGATAAGTAGTGATTTACCTTTCCAAACCTATCCCTTCTCTTTTTGTTTTGTTCTTTCCGGTGAGATTTTTGCTTGAAGTACTATCATGTAAAAGCTGATTCAAGGTACAGTGATTCAGTTTTGTAGTTTCTCAACAGCTTTGCGTAGAACATTCTTGCTAGATACCTACCAGTTATTCCAGTTGCTCATGTAATAAATAACTGATTCAAGGTGAAGGGATCGATCCAGTTCTGTAGTTTCAAGATGGCTATGGCAGCTTGTGTGAAAGTGATTCTAGGCTCAGTTGCCTTCGCAATCTTCTGGGCATTGGCAGTTTTCTTTTCCGTGCCATGTCTACCTATTGGAAGAACTGCAGGGTCCCTCTTGGGAGCTACCTTGATGGTCATATTCCAAGTCATGACCGTCGATCAAGCCTTCGAAGCAATCGATCTTTCAATCCTCGTTCTCCTCTTCGGGACGATGGTGGTTAGCGGATACATGGGCAAGTTGTTGACATGGAAGAGCAAAGGTGCAAAGGATTTGATCTTCAGGATCTGCTTGGTTTCGGCCATTTCTTGTGCTTTGTTCACCAATAACACATGTTGTATGGTCTTGACCGAGTTTGTGTTGAAGATTGCAAGGCAGAATAATCTGCCGCCTGAGCCTTTCCTGCTGGCGCTTGCTTCCAGTGTGAATATCGGGTCAACTGCAACCCCAATTGGTAACCCCCAGAATCTGGTGATCGCCACTCAGAGTGGGGTTTCCTTTTGGGAATTCGTGACCGGGATTCTCCCTGCAACTATATTGGGTTTTTTTTTTCCAATGCTTTGCTGCTTATATTCATGTACGGTGACTTGTTATCGGTTAAGAAAGACCAAGAGGATCCGACTGCATGATTTATCAATGGCGAGTGTGTCGATTCTCACCAGTTTTCGCCGGCTACGATGGACGGTGGGAGCTCTGCTCATCTTGAAACTCTTAGACACAGAGTGAATTCCGAGACACAGAATCACTGGTTCTTGAATGGAGCCTATTGGGATAATAGGAACTAAGCCTGTTCGCGAAGATGGAAAATGCAGCTATGGAAATCATGTGTTTATCTTGCCGTGGTCGGAATGTGTTTATCTTGCACTTGTTATTCTCGTTCTGTCAAATTTGGTTTCAAATGTGCCTACTGGTATGTTGCTGTTTTCTCTTTTAAGTGCTCTGTTATTTCCTTCATTATCTTAATGATCATAATTTGAACCATGTTTTTCCTTGTATCAGTTCTTTTGCTCGGAGCAAGGATGGTGGCATTGATATCACCGGCCTTTGAGAAGAAAGCATGGCTGATTTTGGCTTGGCTGATTCTGCCGTGCACCAGATTTGGGCTACACTTTAACCTTTTGGAAGCATCTCAAATTCGGAATCCCATCCACACTTTTAGTCACTGCCATTGGCTTGATGCTCTTGAAATCATAACACAAAGCATCTGAATCGAGGCTTGTGAATAGCACGAAAGATTCTTTAAATGTCACCTTTTTAAGTGACTGTAATTGTATGATTGAATTGAATAAAGATCAAGGTTCAAATGTTCATCTTCTTTATCGAAGCATAAAATACCAAAATTTATTGTATTCTCGATTATCGTGTGACCTTCCATTGTTGGAAGGGTTTAGAAATTATCATAAGATCGATAAACAAAAATTTCTGGACTGTATTTTTTCACTGTATGCAACTAACCGGAAACGGTGCTACTTTCCAAGTGTATTACATTTCTCACAACATACACGCCATTCTATTTTTGACAAATCAAATGAACCGATCCCAATTTCATATGAAGACTTGGAATTAACCAATTCATTTGTCGGCAAAATGAAACTCAAAAGGATAAGCCACAACAGAATAGTTGTTCTTCCAAAACTGTAATAAAGCTCTGCCCGCAGTTCTGGGGTTCACAAGGGAAAAAGGATTATACAGAGCAAAGAATACAGCACAGTGGCATTTTCTCCTGATGAAGTAAATCTTGAATGAATCATCCCCCAACCTGCTCAAAAACCATGAACCTAAGGCATATTTCCCTGGGAAAATCATAAACACTAGAAAAATTATGAAACTTCTAATTATTTTTCAATTAGTATGAAAACATGTTACTTGTACCATGTATACATAGTTTCCAACATATTAATGTTCCATAAAAAAAAAAAGAGAATACTTGGAGCAAGATAGGTAAGAATTGACTACCTTTGAATAACTTGAAGCTGGTTTTGAAGGAACTACACAATTGGAATTGGATACTGATGAGTGTTCTAAATCGATAATATTCGCTTGTCTATTCTTTGATCTTATGGATCTATTGCTGCTGATTTGGTTGTATTATGCTTATTTTCGTGCAGGATCTTACTTTCCAAAATTAGTAGTAAAAAGGGCGTATTCTGCATTTTTTTTATTATTTGGTCACGGCTAGAGACATGGGCACGACTCTGGACATGACACTGTCTGACGTGACAGTTTCTAGAAGGTCCAGTTAGCAACAATTTTCTAGAAGATCTAGTTAGTACCTTCTGGAAGGTGGATGGAAAAAAAACCCCTAGAGATTTATTTTTAATTTTAAAGTTTGAATTTGGAAAACATTTGGAATTATCTTTAGGAATATTTTTCTTTTAATTTCTATGTTTATTTTTAGGGTTTTAGAGGCTATAAATACCCTCTTGGGTAACCCTAAAGACACAATTCATATTTCACTCTTCTTCTTGTTTCTAGTATTATAAAGTTCTTTCTTTTCCTTATTTTCAAAGTTTTCGTTTTATTTTAAGTTTTATTTTTAAACATGCTAAGTATGACTTTTATCATGCTTAGCTAATTTTCTCATAAGTCGGGGGCTAAAACGATGACTCAATTCCAACGTGAGAATTGAAAAACACTTGAATAACTTAAGAATATCTTTCTCAATCTCTGTACTTATTTCCAAAATCAAAACAATTTTCAAAATCAAAGATTGACTTTGGTTAAGATATTGTTGCGATTAAATGTGTGGGAGGAATGATCAACTTATTGAAAGCACGTTCGACTTCCTGAGAACACACTTGGCGAGATTGTCTTGTTAAGAGGGAATTGAGATCGGAATTAGTACTTATTGAAACAACAATTCGAGTCCGTCTTTACAAACTTAAACGGTTATTGATTAAAGGAATGAAGAAGTAGACCTACATTGATGGAAACAGTGGTCCAGCAACCATGGAAACAGTGGTCCAGCAACCATGGACATGTTTAGGGACATAGTTTCTGAGCTTAATGTCACGGACTTAATCGCTCAATAAGCCTCGTGCGGCCTTAGCTCTTTTTCGCCCCTTGCGATAGCTAAGTCAGCCTCACTCGAACTCGTGCTAGAGAAAGGATTGGCAAGGAAACAAAGAAGAAAGGAAAGAACTTAGAGAGAAAGCTTGTTGAATGCTTGAATGCTTACAACTCTTGGATGATTTACAAATGAGGATTCTACACCTATTTATAGCATCCCACCTCCTCAATGGACGATGGAGATTGATTTGATCCTACGGTAGGGAGAGATTCTCTAGAATTCTCCATTATTTCCTACCTAACATGGAAGACTCTAGAATGCTTCTAGAATATGTACAAGTCTTGAGTGTTCTAGAATAATCTACACTATTCTATCAACCTCCAAGACCAAATGTGGCCCAACATAGCCAAAATAGCCCAAAGTGTGGGGAAAAGGCCCAATTTCGTGACATTCTCCCCCACCTATTCTGGCGTCGTCCTCGTCGCCTCGTACGCTTTGAGATGTTCTTCGAACTGCCACAAGTCTTCAGCTAGCTCCCATGTTGCCTCGGACTCTGGTAGCCCTTTCCACTTGATTATACGAGGGACCATTCCAAGTACTTGCCAAGGTGGGAAAAGTGTCTTATCGCTTAGACTTGCCAAGTACACTTAAGATTCATCCGGTCTTCCATGTAAGTATGCTCAAGCCATATCATGCCGACAAGGAAGACCCAAGCCAAGGGTATTCGCATCGAGCACCTCCCGTAGTAACCAAGTCTTATGACAAAGAGGT